CTGGTGTTGGAACTTAAAGCTGCTCCACATCAAGGCAAGATTCCCACCACTGGAGCCCTGAGTTATCACCAGTAGCTTTCTGTGTGTGTTTCTGTATCCCTGCCACAGCAGAACTGCTCTCCCAGCGTTCCTGCTCTGTGGTCTGGAACCCCGTCCCTTCCTCTGCCAAGTGTTTGTGTTCTCATGGTGACACCAAGTTCCCTCTGCAGTTCCTCTGCCAGCTGATAGAGACTTTGATCTCTGCTTTGCCCAGAGCAGGGTGCTGAGAGGACAGAGGGACTGATGGCACCGTGTCCTCACCCACAGGTCCGGCCCCTTTGAAATCAGCGCTGACCTGGAGGACTCCATGGAGTTCGTGGAGCCCAGCGCGGCGGGCGAGACGGACGAGAGCGGCGACGAGCACGTGAGTGACGAGGAGACGGACCTGGGCACGGACTGGGAGAACCTGCCCAGCCCCAGGTTCTGTGACATCCCCTCGCAGCAGGTGGAGATGCTGCAGAGCCAGAGCACCCAGGTGTCCCAGCCCATCGCCAGCAGCAGCGCGGGCGGGATGATCTCGTCCGCAGCCGCCTCGGTCACCTCGTGGCTCAAGGCCTACACCGGGCACCGCTAGCGGGCACAGGGGGCTGTGCCAGGAACCCCTCCCTGACTGTGCTGTAGTCAACCTTTACCTGTTCAGTTAAGTAGTGCCTGGAACAAAGGAAAGGTCAGACTTCTGTTTTGTAAACCGGAGAAAACCTTTTTATTTACCCAAGACGACTGTGACGGCCCCGTTTTGTAAATGAGCTCCGTGCTCCCCACGGATTCCGCGAGGGCACTTTGTGTCTCGGTTCTGTCTGCATCGAGGATTGTGAAAGGACCCAGCAACCTCCAGCTCTACTTTCTGAAGAAGAAACAGATTTTGGAGCGTTTGGATTGGGGTGAGCGCAGGGAAGGCTGCTCAGGGCGCGGTCTGGACAGTGGTGCAAACGCAGTTCCCACTTTCTTAACTCCTTACAGGGTTTTCCTTTGTGTGTGTGTTTTAAATCTGTCTTGCATAATGCAAAAATGCGTATTTCTAAATTTTTTTCATTCAGGACATGAAAATTATGCATTTTTAACATGTTTTCTAATCTCTGTTGCCATATTTTTAATACAAATGATCAGCATGGACAGGGAATTCACACAGCAAATTGCTCTTGCTTTAGATTTGGTTGTGAATCTTTACCCAGTTTTGCCACAGAATACTGGCTCGTTCCATGCTTGTTTCCACTGGTAGGTGTAGAAGTTTTGTGTTGTGCTGAGGCACACAGGCTCTGTGCTCTTTAATACCATACACCAAAGAAACACTGGACATTCTCTTGCTAGACCCACATTCGATGCTGATACAGAATTGCATTGTTGCAATAATATCCATCGGTTACCACACCACGTTGCCACTTTTTAGCATTAGAAAAACCTCATTTCAAGCTAATTTGGTGAAGTCACGTGCTCTCCACACTATATGTGTTTTTAACCCTATTTTATTGTATGTTCTTGGTGGGGTTTGTTGTTTACTGACTGCTAAGCTGGTTTGGTTTCCCTGGCACAGCTGGCTCGGGGATCCCCAGGAGGTGGGTGCTGAACGGTGACTCGGTGAGCCAGGGCTCCTTCTCTTCCTCTGCCTTGCAGGATGGGGCACCCACGGGGGGTTTGCTCAGCAGAGCTTCCAACGTTTACATTTAGAGCTGGGACAGTTCCTCCACAGGGCCAGCCAGGGAAGAGCCTCCTGCCCTCCCTGCACGAGGGAGGATTTCTGGCACTGCCCCACAGCTTGTGGGGACACAGCTCCTAACAAGGACGCGGTGACAGAGGGCACATCCCTGCCCGATCCCAGCTTTCCCAGCCTCCTCGCAGGGTGTGCTGTGGTGGATTTCTCTGTTCCTCTCCAGGCTGGCCAGCGCTGCCTCTGTCCCCAGCCAGGAGGGGTGGGAAGCCAGGTGTGGCAGTGACACCTGTGTGCCCCATGCCAGGGGTCTGGCTGAACATTGTATCACCCACCCCTCCACGGCAGCTTTAGCCCTGAGCTCGGGCATCTCTTGTCAGCAGTTTCTTCCAATTTTTTCTTTTTTTTTTTTTTTTTAAACCAAAGACCCTTAACTCTGCTCACGTTGTCAGACAACACCACCCTCGCTCCTGCCGTTCCTCTGCTCTAAGAGTTGGGTTTGTTTTAGGAGAACAGCCCAGGCCCCTGGACTGCTGCAGCCCAAGGGGGTCAGTGCCCCCAGCCCCGCTGCCAGGCCCAGCCCAGGCCTTTGGGCTCTGTGGCTCACAGCACTTTATCACTCACAGCTCTGAGCAACCAGCACACGCCAGTATTGGAAACTGGGCTCACAGCCCAGCCCCTTCAGCTTCCCCATGGATTTTGCACTGGACCTCGCCATCTAAAAACCTTTTTTTGGTTGTTTTTTAACAGGCATTTCAGTCCCTTTTTCATTGCTGCCTTTGCGCTTTGAGCTCTGGAAGGTCAGGCCATGACTCAGCCTCGTGCACTGTCACTGAACTTAGGGAAAGAAAATCCAACACAATAACTTTTCTAAGCCATATATTTCATATCCATGTTTTCCAAAATAATTTATTTCCAACCCTGTCATACTCTGAGAGTGCACAAGGGCACCATGAGGGTGTTCAGATGTGTTAAGAGAGGGCTTTTCATGGAACCTTTTTTTGTAACAGAACACAAGGTTGTGGTGGGGTTTTTTTTAAAGTGTTTTGCACATGTGTAGCTGAGGAAGAACAGTATGTCCAAACCTTGAGTGCAATCACCAGGATTCATTTCCCAGGTTGTTTGGGGGGTTGGGGGAGGGAGGATGGGAATATCTGTAATTATAGATATTTGAAGGCAGCCAGCTGAGAGTTTACAAAACATTTTGTGTAGCATGAACACGGGAATTTCAGTTTGGGCCGGGATTTCTGGTCCTGACCAGTGGCCTGGGGTGGCCAATTCAGGCTGCCAAGGAAGAGCCTGATTTTTGGGGGCCCAGCCCTGTGCTGAAAATCAGGTGCCTGGGCAGGGTCTGGGGTGGGGACCTCTGGGGGTGGCTTTTTCACCTGCGGAAACTCGCGGCCCCTCTCTTGCAACTTCCAGACTTAAAATGTAACTAAACACAAATGGTTTGGTTTTTGTTGGGTTTTTTTTTTGTTTTGTTTTTGGTTTTTTTTTCTTCTAAATTTTATTGTATTATTGCAATAAATCTTTAACAGTAATTTTTTTAAAGTTGTATATTTATGACTGTTATTTCTGTGTGGTTTGTTTTTCACCGTGCTGGGCAAAGAACACAAGAATTTCCAGCCTTCAAAGCATCACAGGGACCAGACCTGTTACAGTGCAATCAGTTGTACAGCGGTGGAATAAGCAATACCCATTCTAAAAAAATACTCTTACATAAAATAACTGCATCTCCATGGGAGCAGGGGGTGGAGTCCTGCACAACACCCACACACGCACACATCCCTCTATGTACATGTAAACGGATAAACCTCTTGGGTGAGCCTGGCTCGGGGCTGCTCCTGTGCTGGGGGATGTTTCTGCAGCTGCTGGATTCTTTCTTCATGCAAAGGCTCCTCGTTACAGGCTCGTTTTGGGATGCAAGAAGGTGACTTTTGAAGGATGGAGTTACTGAAGTGGTGTCAGAGGGGCAGGGAAGGCTCTGCCCACGGGCCCTGGCAGCCCATGGATCACAGGCTGCTGGACCATGGGGGAGAAATAACCCCTCCCACTGCATTTTTTGTGATGTATCAGATGGGAAGGAGCGATGGCCCTGCGATTCCTGGCTGTTGGACACTCGGGATTGGGAGCAGCAGCCACCTGGGGCTCCTGCACTCAGAGCTGGGGCAGTTCATGGCCTCAGTCACAGCACAGTCGGGTCATGGCCAGCGGCAGAGCAAAGTCTGGGCCGAGCTCAGCTCATGCAGACAATGCTCAGGCCACTTCTGCTTAAACAGGACCAGCAGCAGCAGCTTTTGGCCTCTGCCCACTGTGGTTTGTGGCAGGAGAGCAGCCTGATAATGCCCTCACCTGTCCCTACACCAGCACTGCCTGGACCAGCCAAAGGCAGGTGGGAAGGAGAAACAGCCCCAGGTGAGGCTTCAGCACCATTTCCACCGTGCAAGAAGTGGGAGTGGAGACACAGCTTGGATCTGTCAGTGCAGTTTTGTGCAGGTGTGAAATCCTGGAATGGTTTGGATTGGAAGAGACCTTAAAGATCACCTCATTCCACCCCCTGCCATGGCAGGGACACCTTCCACTATCCCAGGCTGCTCCAAGCCCTGTCCAGCCTGGCCTTGGACACTTCCAGGGATCCAGGGGCAGCCACAGCTTCTCTGGGCACTCTGTGCCAGGGCCTCAGCACCCTCACAGGGCAGAATTCCTTCCCAATATCTCATCCATCCCTGCCCTCTGGCAGTGGGAGCCATTCCCTGTGTCCTGTCCCTCCATCCCTTGTCCCCAGTCCCTCTCCAGCTCTCCTGGAGTCCCTTCAGGCCCTGCAAGGGGCTCTGAGCTCTCCCTGGAGCCTTTTCCCTTCTCCAGGTGAACATTCCCAGCTCTCCCAGCCTGGCTCCAGAGCAGAGGGGCTCCAGCCCTTGGAGCTTTTCCGTGGCTTTACCAACAGCTCCAGGGCATAGGGGCAGATGCTGCAGGAAGGGACCTGGGTCCAACACAAGGAACTGAACTCTGCTGCAGCATCCCAGGATTTCTCCACAGGGAACAGGGCCCAGCAAAGGGAAAAGCTGCTGCAGAAACAGCCAGGATGGAGCAAGAACCCAACCACAAGACTCAGCCACAGGCAGCTTTCTCAGTGCTGTCCATGCCAGGAGAGCCCCAGAGCTTGATGAGAACTGGAAGCTTATGGACAATGGAAATGTTATTACAACTTCTTCACAGGCCTATCTGGAAATTCAGTCCAGACACTCCAAATGCTCCCAGGCAGGCAAGTCAAGCACATGGTGCAGTCCTTCATCCTCAGTTCTAAACACTGAACTTTGTAAATCCAACACTGGATTTTATTTTTTTTTAATTGCTTCTTAGGAAGAAAAACCAAAACCCTAACATTGATCAGACCTTGGCTTCTCCCTGAACCATCCCTTAAGGAAACAGAAATCTGCATTTTACAACATTACAGGAAAAAAAAAAAAAAAAAAAAAAGCTTGCAGGCAGTTCAGCATGGCAACATTCAGAACCAACCCACTTCTGGCTGCAAAAGCTTGCTCCATGAAACAATTTTTAACAGCAGTGCTGTGCAGGAGGGACAGTTCCGGCAGACAACGTAATAAATGATGTATAAACCTGCCCACACTCCCCAGCCAGCCTGGGGGAGGGCAGAGATGGGGTAGGGTAGATAGCAAGTTGTCCTCTGGATTTACCTGCTCCAAGAACAAAATAGCCTCATGGTATTATTTTATCCTCGTTTTTCCCCTTGTTCAACAAAATCTTATACCCTGTTCCAAATAAAATGACCTCACTGGCCCCTTATCTAATTACAAAATATTTTCCTCTGCCACTCCATTCCAGCCTCACAGGGACTTTCCTCGCTGCTGTCAGCCTCAAGTTTTCCACAGTCTTGGGTGGGGGGGCAGGAAAGCAGCTTCTTTTCCTTTTCCCCTAATCAAAATTAAGCTGAAGGCCTTTGATGCCGATGGCTTTGGCAAAACAACAGCCTGGAGGTTGTTTTGCTGCTGGTCTGGGCGCAGCCGAGGGAGCAGATGGAAGTTTGGGTGAAGCCTGCACCCTGTTAGAGGATGAAGTCAGGGATTAAGGAGGGATCCCGCTTTTCCTCTCCCTCTTCCCAGCCGATTACAAGGCAGCCGCACCCTTCTTTCAGATTCCTTATTTCATTCCTCCTGCTTGTCATCATGTCTGCAGTGCAGGGAGGCTGAGCAGCTCTGGGAGGGGTGGCTGACACCCGGTGGGTGGCAGGAGCAGGTGAAGGCAAAATATAAAACCAGCACATCCTTTAAACCTCCCTGAAAAGCCTGAGCTCACTAAACCCACATTTCAGGCTGCCAGGGCTCGATTTTCCTTCTCCCACTGTCAGAGAACAAAAGCCTTCAAAACCCTCTTTTGTCCTCCTGACGCTCCAAAACCAGGTGAATCACTCCCTGGGAGCCCAGGGCAGGTGGAGGTGGGTGGCTCAGCCTGGCCCCCACAGGCAGCAGTTTTCCATACCTTGCTGATCCAGCACCAAAGGATAGAGAACAGCATGAGCCAGGCACAGGGCCACCCCATCCCTGCCTTTTCCAGCGGCTCCCTGGGCTTGGCAGGGCAGAGGAAGGCCCGAGGTGAGCCCCATGGGAAGGTGGCACCAGCTCTTCTTGCACCAGGTCAGAGATTTCGGCTGCTCCAGCTGGAATGGTGAGAGCCAGGAGTCCATCTGTGCCCTGAGAAGGGGCAGAGGAACAGCAACAGCACCAAGTGGGGGAGAGAAAGACGTGGCCAGGGCAAAGGCACGGCTGCCCCGCTCCGTTGGGCTCCCTGGAAAACGGCTGCTGCTCCCCCGATGGAGCTGGATGCGGCTGCTGGACTGAACAAGGTCCATTCCCAGGCTTCCGAACCATCCACCCTGCGAGGGCTCTAACGGGAGGCTGAGGTCTGGCTCACAGCATGGCCAGGAATGGATCCAGGGAAATTCTGCCACGGATTCCACGCTCCGCTCCCGTTCCGAGTGCGAGGAATCGCCGTTGATCTGGCACAAACCTCTGCGATTCTCCTGGAAAGCAGCGACCCACAGCACTGGCAGGAGAGGCCAAGGGCTGCAGCACAGCAGGGCAAAGCACTGCAAGGATTCTTCTTGCAAGGGAAAACTCCATACAGAGAGATAGGAAAGCTTCTGGCACACCACAGAGCCAAGGCAACTCCACATTGATCCTGCTGGACCCACACTCCGTCCTTGAGCATCCAGGGAATGGGGCAGGTGCCCACACAAGAGCCAAGAAGCGGGAGGACCAGAAAGTTTTTGCAAGCTTTACACACCTAGCACCAGAATTCCCGATGAAAGGAGCCTCTGCTGCACGCAGGGCTGGCAGGAAGGAAAGGAAAAGCTGGAATCTGTGACTCTTACAGCAGGGAGTTCTCCAAGTACTAGAGAGCTGGGAGTTTTTGTTTCTTTGTTAGCAGGACAGGTTTGCTAGAGAAAGCACATTGCACGTCTGAACTACAGCACAGCACCAAGTTTCTGCCACGTGTTTTACAGCATTTTTATTTTGGGGCAAAAGTCTTACAAGAGAATGTCTGGTAAGGCAGATCTAGAATGCACATTTTATTTATGTAAAAAAAAAAAAGAACCAAAAAAAAAAAACCCCAACCAGACAACATGGGTAAGGTAGACAAGAACTTTTTTTTTATATTCTGACTATACAATAATATTTCTCTGTTTTTTTTTAATCCACTGCCACACTAATATAATGGATCTGCTCTATAGTCTAAAGTTTGTTGTCCAGTTAAGTTGTCTGCAGCTTCTTTAAACAAGTTGACCTTTACCTATTTAGAGTTTCTTCTCAGAAACATTCATATATTATACAGGATATACAGATTTTGAAACAAGACACTTAAAAACACACACACCTATAGCCGCAACACTGGGATAGCTGCATTGTAGGGGTTACCTTGTTCAGCCAGCTGTAGACTCTGTATGTACAATTAGTTTTTATAGTGTTATTTACAGAGATGGACTAAAAGCTCTCTTTTAATCTAAAAGGTAAAGGCTCTTGTGTTTGAGTATGTGCAGTTTCATAGCCCTGTGGGGGAAAAAAAAATAATCACGACAATTATATACACTGTAAACAGCACAAGGCATGAGAATCTCCTCCTCCTATCCCAAACAATCTTGCAGGAAAGTGTTTGTGCACTAATATTCCTCTTCCACCTCTGCTCCAGCTCCTCTGGTTTTCTTATGGATCGCACGGTTAAAGCTGTGGCAGGCAGGGACCCAGTGATTGTCATGGAGACCCAGCTTACAGCCCGGGATGCCCTTCTGGGAGCGGTGGCAGCACATCCAGTAGCCAGGCCCGTAGGGCAGGGCCTGGCAGTAGGGCTTGGGGTGCCACCGGCACAGGGACACGTCCCCCTTCACGTATTTCTTCTTGCACTGCTTGCAGGGGTCTTCCCGGTAACGAGGGTCGCGCACCCAGCGCGAGTCCGCCGGCCTGATGTTGTAGTACTCAATGATGAATTTGAAGTAGTAGCAAGTGCATTTTAGGGCAACCAGGCTCCTGGTGGGAAGCAACCCAAAGATCTTCACGATGATGTGGTGAGGCAAGAAGGCCATGTACTGCTGAGGCTCCAAAAGCTGTTGGATTTTAAACCTGGTTTCCAGAAAGTCATGTGAAACCTGCCGCTTTAGGCAGGAAGCGTCAAGTACTTGCAAAGCCCCTTCTGTGGGAGGGACGGAAGGGGCCGATGGCTCTGTAGGGACACTGCTTCTGACACACGATCTAGCAGATGCCAGAGCATCCTCATCCTCGTTTGGGGCTACTTCCCCTGGCTTCTCCTGGATACTCTCCCGCCGTGGCTGTTGCTCATGAGCAGCAGGCTGCTCACCCTGGAGGAAAAACAGCCTCCCTGGGAGTGAATCCTCACCAGAACTGGAGAGCTTCTCCTTCCTGCACCCTTCCTCTGTCTTGGTGACTGATATACTGATGCATAAGGGCTCCTTCCTAGCAGGATGCTTTGGGAAAATTACAGGCTCTTTCGACATACAATCAACAGTCGCATTCTTGCTCTGCAAGGGATCCGCTGGCAGCCTGGCAGCAGCTGGACACGGGGACAGCAGAGCCCTGGGAGGCTCAATCTGCGTTTCAGTGTCATTCCTGCCAGCTGTCATCGCCAACACCGCGTGGGCAAGTCCCGAATTCACATTCCCCACCCGGGTATCCAGCCCCGAAGGAAACGGCTGCCGAGCAGAGGCACCGCCATCCCACAGCTCGGTGGTGCCCAGAGGGCCACAGCGACCTCCGTAGCCAGCCTCTGCCACCCCTGCCTCCCCCAGGCCGTCCCCCTGAGCCGGGTCCCCCTTCTCCCCGTCTCCCTCGGGCTGGGTGCTGCTGGCCAGGAGCACCCTGCCGACGTTCCTGCGGAAGCTGTTGTTGCGGGAGAGGCTCCCGGCCTCGCGCTCGCTCTGCCGCCTCAGGCACTCGGACTCCAGCTTGGCCACCATGTCCAGCACCCGCACGGGCTCGCCCTGGGGCTCGCCGGGGCCGCGCTCCGCCTCGCACGCCCCGCCCGAGGAGAAGGGGTCGGAGCCGGGCGGGGTGGCCTTGGGCTGGGCGCTCAGCCTGGTGGCAGAGGTGGCCGTGCAGGTCTTGGCACAGTCCACCAGCAGGGCGCTGGCCCGCTGCTCCAGGAACGCCACCATCTCGATCACCGACAGGGAGCGGCCCGGGAACGCGCCCTCCCCGCTGTCGCTCCCGAAGTGCACCGAGCAGTGCTCGATGCCGCAGGCGAAAGGCTCCGGCTGGGAGTACCTGGCGTTCGCCTCCCTCATTCTTTCCAGTTGGATTTTGGCTTTTTTAAGATCCACCGATTTTTTCCTGCGTTTGGCCGTTCTCCCGTCGATGTCCCACGTGCTCTTGATTTTCATGGAGCCCGCGCGGGTGTTGCTGCTGCACTGCTGCGCCGCAAAGAAGGCGATTTTCTCCTTGGTGTTGCCAGGTTTCACCACAGCCCAGACATCCAGCGGCCCTTCCCCTTCTTCTCCCTGGTGGATCGTCGCAGACAGGGCGTTCTTCTTTTCCCTTGCGCTTGGAGCGTCCGCTGGGCCCTTCCCGTTCATATTGCACATAGTATTTGGATAAATAATCCCCAGAAGCTTCTGAGATGGAGTCACGAGGGAGGGTTTGGGGAAAACGTTCAGTTTGCTGCAGTTGGTGTATTTTTCTCCTTGTGTTGGTCCCTGGTGGCCTCGCAGGGAATCCTGGCTTATTTCTGGGGATCGCTCTTTCTTCTGTAACTTGAGATATGGCTTTAAGTGCATACCAGAAACCCTGAAAAAACAGAGAGGGAAGAAGTTATAGTTGCAAAATATGCCTGTCTGGAATTAGAGAAGGTGGCCCAGAGCAGGCACTAGCCCACACCTCAAAAGGAACCACATGAGAAAGGAAAAGAGCCACCAAGGCTGCAGTATCCACCCTTGAAGAACTTCCTGCAGTAGGAGAGAACTTCCCATCGGAGAAATCTGTTTCCAGGCAGTTGCGAGGAGAAATCCTACAGTTTAAATTGTATCAGTTGTGAAAACATAGCTAGTGGTTCATTCTTGAGCTAGAGCCATCCTTCTGCCTGTTCATTCCTTAATCCAGTTCTAAGGCACACGTGGGTCACAGGTTTATCTGGACATCAGCTACCACGCACGCTCTTTTCGGTAGATAAAATGTGGTTAAAGCTCAAAAGGGAAATTAGCAAGAGTAATTGTATTAACCAGAGATCCCAGGAGATATCTAATCTCCTAGTATCACTCAAAATCACACAGTGGTTTGGGTTGGAAGGGACCTTAAAGGTCATTTTGTTCTGCTTCCTTCCATGAGCAGGACACCTTCCACTACATCTCAGGTTGCTCTAAGTCCCAACCAACCCATCCTCGGACACTTCCAGGGATGAAGCAGCCACAGCTTCTCTGGGCAACGAAACCTTTCCTTTAGCATATTGATAATGGCAAATTTGGTGACTTTCCCATAAGAGCCCTTATGTTGCCACCCCCCAAAGTGACAGCAGCATGACACCAGCTGAGGACACCCACTCTCAAGGATGGGATTTTAGAGTCAGGAATTCCAGAGCTGTGAAGGACCCCTTGGATGCTGCTGACACTGCAGCAGCAGCCCCAGACTCCTCTGTTCTGTCACACCTCCACAGTCACCTTCCATTCAAAGCTCAGGAACGCCAGAACCCGGGGCACTGCCACACAGGAGACTCCAAGCTCTTCTCCCAGCTGTATCACATAAGCACATTACAGAATTAACTATAGATTATGTTTCCATGGTAATCTTTGAGTTGTTGCACTCAAAGGGTGTTCAGGGATGATCTGTGCTCGAGAGTTGAAGAGCAGCAGGTTCAATGCCACATTCATCACCAGCTGACACAGACACATTCAGGCACTGAATGTGTTTCCCTTGAGAGCCAACACCAAGAGAGTTGTTTAAGTAACTTTGTTTAAGTTTAAGTAACTTTGTAGGTTTCTAGCCTAAAAGCAGCTTTTAATTAAAAACCTCAATTCATTGGTCTATAAAGTCCAACAAATTTATGAGTGATGTTGCCCAAGCAGAGGAAGCCTCCAGGACTAGAAGCAGCTGTGCTGCCTAACCACTGCTGTCCCTGGAGGTTTGGTTCCTCCTTCTGGCCCTAGTGACAAGAAGGGAGGGCAGGCACAGAGATTTTAGGGAGGTACATCAGGAGGAAGGGCTTAGTTCACCTTTCTGCACCTCTCTGGTCCCAGCAGGGCTTTCAAGGCCAGGAAGCAGCTGATGGAAAGGCAGATGTTATGTTCCTTCCCTCTGGATTTTTTAGGGAGACCATCACCTGGTTCTTGCTACCAGACAATGCCAAAACCACCTGCATCTCACCTAGAGACTGTGGGAGTAAAAGATCCCAGTGCTGCAGACACATCTACACAGCCCCTGGGTTAATTCTCTCCCCGTGCCTCCTGCGTGCCAATTCCAGCTCGTTGGAATTGGGTCACCTCCCAGTTTAGTCTCCTCTGCAAAATGCAGCTGAGCTACTTTGTTTGCCTCCTCAGTCGGATGCTAAAAACTAAAATAATCTCATAAAAATAGAACTTTGGGGCGTTGAAATAGATGCATGGAGAGAAAAATGGGAAATCGAGCCTGCTGGAGCTTGCTTTGGCCTCATTTTTCACAGGGGCTGCCTCATTCTGGTTGTACTTCACAGTGAAGCAGGGTCAGGCCACTGATGTGGCCTGGCTAAAGCCCAGCCCAGAAGAGCAGCAGGTGAAGCACTGCAGCAAACTGCTGCAGGGAACAGTGCCTGCAGCCTTCCCCTCCCTTCCCTTCCAGAAGGACATTTCCCAGACTGGAGAGAGAAAAGCTCCGGTGGCTGCTCGCCACCGTACCCTGGGGAGAAGAGGTGAATACAATTAAAACACGACTTTGCATGCTGAAATCTCCTGAGCCAGGAGCAGAAGATCAAATTTCATTCATGAGTTTTTATGCCAAGGTGTTTGAAAGATGAGCTGAGCTTGTTTCTAAAACGCTTTCTTCAAGCAGTTTTCAGGAATCCAGCAGGACAATCAGCTCAACACCCTTCATTAAGAGAAGCTGCAAATGGAGGTGAGAGCAGGTATTATATGAATAAAACCAGAACCAAACTGGTTATCCCAACAGGCTCAGGGGACATGTTCAGCCAGCAGAGTTGGTTCAGCTGCTCCCAGCTATTTCTGGTCTATGGAGAAAGATAAAGGGTAAAATTCTGCCTCACCTATTACAAATTTCTTGTTTAAGGTTATATTTCCTATGTTTCAGTTCATCCCCGGCTAAGCCAACAATACCATTTAAGGTTGAAAAGTTATAATTTACATAACAAAATTACGCCTTAGTCAAAAGTTTTACTGCCAGAATAATTGCCTCATTTGAATTCAGCATTCAGTTCATTGCACATGTTTTAATGGATCCAGATTTAAAGAAAACCTTCATCTAATAACTTCAGACAGCTATAAAGAGCATTGCAAACTCCACAAGACCAGCTGCCACCTGCCTCAGAGTTTTCCAGCAGCAGGGAAGAGAACTTTCATTTTAAAAGCCATCTTAGCAATGAGCCTTACCTGAAAGTGTCACTGGGAAAAAACGGGCCCCCACCTCACACATCCTTTGTTGTGGACATTGAGAATGAACTTTTAGGTAATCACAGCTCCTTCCCTGCATGTCAGCAGCACATTTCATCTCTAACTTCTAGAATAAGAACAAGGCTTCCCAGCAGAAATTGCTTTGAAGATGAACCAGAGCCCAGTCCCCACCCACAGACTCCCCTGTTTCTCAGTGCTGGCAAGCAGAGAGTTGTGGCAGCTGCAGGTAAGCTTTTAAATATTTAAAACCACCAAAAATAGTTGTTAAAAGGTGAAATCACATATTCCCTATGACACTTCATTCCAGAATAATTCTGTTTGCTTTCCTCCACCCTTTAAGTTATCAAGCTCTCTAATTTTATCTTTAGAGACAACAACTCTTCAGAAGTCCACGGGAGCAAACATAAAAGGTTTTCAATCCCAAATGTGCGGTTTTAAATTGCTGATAAGAGAATTCTGCCAGGAATGATCAGCACTGAAACAACGAGCAGTGCTGCCTTTATATTGTTATTCCATCCTTAAGCTGATGAAATAAAGGGGCCAGTTTTTCTATTTCTAATCAGCCATGTCTGAAAAACAGGATACTTGCACTGCTGGAATGACACTGCTGTTTTTATAAGTCCTAACTACAGCTTGTTTCCACAGCAGTTTTATCAAGTTGGTTACTACACATTGCTGATACAGAAATATATTCCTTTATATGTGCTCAGACACACAGCCCTTTTTTCCTCACCCAAGGGAAGATCCATAACCCACTGGTGGACTCCCTATCCCTGAAAGTGTCCAAATCCAGGCTGGATGGGGTTTGGAACAACCTGGTCTAGTGGGAGGTGTCCTTGCCCATGGCAGTGGGTTGGAATGAGATGACCTTCGAGGTCTTTTCCAACCCAAATCATTCCATGATTCTACTTGCCAAGCTGGATAGAATCTTGCAGCATCCTTTTGTATTTATGTATGTTCTAAATCACAGCAGCCTAAAACAGTAATATATTTGCTTTAGTGGAAACTCCAGAGTTGGAGGAAAAAATCTTATAAAACACTCAGTTTTCTCAGCTCCTTTGTAAGGTCCACAGAGAGCCTTAATTCCCCTTCCAGCTCCCAACTCAGGGACTCTGATGATGCCCAGTGAAGCCAAAAGATTTCCTCTCACCAGCAAGAACAACAACAAAAAAGCCTAATCTTCACAAACAACATTTTCACACTGCAAGTTTTCTGAGGAAAGCACCGGAAGGTTTTATTAGGGTGAAAATTTCCATCAAAACCCCCAAGTTTCCTATGGATTTCTCCTTGTAAACACCAACTCCAATCAACAATCAGCTCCTCATGTTGCTGACTGCACAACCAGTGCCAACTACAACTCTGAAAAACCCCTCAGGACATACTAACACAAGGCAGAAGCCAAAAAAGAAAAAAAAATAGAGAAGGGAAAAAACATCAATAACAATAAAAACCCCACACCTCTGGTAAAGCATTCCTCTTCCCTGGCATCCCAGTTCTCTGTCCATAGAGTTTTCCTCCTCAATAAAGGACACTGACAATTAGCAAGGACTGAGCACAGAGTGGGAGTTAACCACGGTCAACCACTTGTTATTTCTGGAAGGGCTTGGTGGGTCCTTTGGGCTCGATCTCCAGTACCATTTCCATCCCCTTTGCACTGCCAGGGCAAAGCAAAGCAGACAGAGAGCTGCTTCAAAGGCATTCCATGGATTCTGCCGGGGCGGGAAAGTCCCGGGATGGAAGGAGCTCTGCTACTCGTGGAGTTTGTTCTGGAGCATGGCAAGGGTCCAAGCTCAGAGAAAGGAGGCCTGGGAAGCTCCAGAGCAGGGGTGGGTTCTGGCAGCTGTGGAAGCATCTGATTTCCTGAAAACCCACTCCCCTTAGAGCAGCAACTGCTCCTGACCCACTTCCCAACACCTCCAAAATGCCTCTTGCAGCACAAGGAGAGCCAGCAAGGATTAGAGCGGGATTTGAAGGCAAACAGAAGGCATGTGGCTGCTGAAGGAGAGCTCTCTGCTCCAGTGGCCAGCCTGGGGCAAGTGGAAGAATGCCAAAACCGTGGGGCAGAGCTGGCCCAGCAGAGCATAGGAGACAAATGCACTGTAAGAATCAAACTCCTAAGGCTGGGTCCCTCCCCAGCTTGCTCACCTGTGTCAGGTGCTCAGATAACCTGACTCTGGGGGAGACAACACCCAAATACAGCTGCACACAGCACAGCCAGAAAACCCATCGCACAAAGCCCATCATCTGCAGCACACAGAGACTGGGGTGACAGCATGCAGCCCCAAACCCAACACAGAGCACTCCACTTTGAGGGCTCCCACCCATCAATGTTTTGAACACGTTTTACATTAAACACACCCTTCAGTAAAGCACAGTTGCCCTGGCTACTTCCTAAATTTTGTACAGAAAGAAGTGCCACTGCTTTGGCAGGCTTTTGTATAAAAGCACTTACCGTGAAGGGAGAGATGTAGCAGGAATTCTGTGCTGAGTCTCAGGAAGCTCAAAGCCCTGCTTCCCAACCATACCAGACACGACACAGAGATGACAAAGCAGAAGGGAACAAAAGAAACTGAAAGATTTGGAATTCAAGGTTATCAGCTGCTCCAGAAACATGTAGCTCAGAGATGATGGGATGGCACATGTGGTTGTGGTTGAGAGGAAATCATAGAGGGACAAGACAAAAACTGGTGGGTTTCTGCTCAGCTGAAAGCTGCCCAGAGCAGCACAGGTAAATGACAAGTGTCCTTCCAGAAATGTTTTACCTTTATTAATTTGTTTCCTGATTTATAAAGTTCAAGAGGACCAAGACCTTTCTTTATATCACAGTGCAACAAATTTCTTGTGTTAATGAACCAACACAGAGTGAAGCTATTTATAGCCTTCATTTTTGTGCATACTTAATGAGAACACATGAAAGGTTGCAGAAATTAACCTTGGACCACACACTCAGTAACAGACTCAGCATTCAAAAGAATAAACAAGCAAAAGTAGAGCTGAGGGCAAGTTATCAGGTTGCCCTTTTGAAACTCAAGACTGAAAGAAATTGGTTCATGAAGTCAGCTGTGCTGGGGAGGATTTCACTGCACACAGCATTCTCCAGGAGTCAGAAGGTGTTTTCATTATTAAGAACACATCCCAAACAAGATCCAAACTCCAACTGGATGTGATCCTTCTTTGTGAAGGATACCAGAAGCAGACACAAGTTTCAGGTCACATCACTTGGAAACTTCTATCTTAGAGATCAAAAAGTCCAGGAATAAACATGAGAACTGGCGCAGCGTTAAGTCACTGCAGAGATATTTAACAAAGAAATAGTGAAAGGTTTTTTTCAGTTTGCGAGAGAAAAGAGAAACAGGGCTGCAAGCAAGGGCAGGGCAGAGATCAAGACTACAACACGAAACACCAAATTTGACTTTGCACCACTTTTAAAAAGGGAAGGTAAGGGTGATGGTGAGGGCAAAAGCCCAGGCGTTAATCTGAACAAGAGCATCGGCAGGGGGAGGATTAGAGAGCTTCATAAAAATTGTGAGGATTGGCTCATCCCAATTTTAGAATCCAAACCAGACAGACTCATGCACTGCAGGCCAAGAAACAGGATTTATAAACCTCTTGAAAGGCAACAATAGGAGATAATAAACATGTGGCACATTGGAGGGGGCACTGCAGGGGAGAAAGAGGAGAAGAATGATTGCAGCCTCTCCAGGGCTCGTATTCTGACTCCAATACAAAGGTGTTTTGCAAGCAAAGAGGATTAATGTGACACAGAGAAAAAGAGGGAAGCGGGAATAGTTCAATATGCCAGACTAAACTCAAGGTTCTCAAAAAAAAGCCATCTTTTTAGACCAATCTACTATATCTTCCTCACATGGACTTCAGAGAGCACAAAGAGATTTACTGGTTAAGACAGATTGGCAGAGGAATGGGAAAACAGACAAAGGAGTTGGCTTAGCAGCAGACAGCCCCAGGTGATGCTGAATAAGAAAATACCAGCCTGGAAACCAAAGACATGCCTCAAGAATCAGCCCTGGGAACATCTGATTTTGTTAGGAATGACCTCAGCACTAATTCTGCACCCACAGAAATAGAGGCAGTTCCATAACAGCAGAGGCACAAAGCTCCAAGTAACACAAACTGAGGAGGGTTTTGAAATGCAGGCAGTGATGCACCAGCAAGAGGAACACCAAGAAATTTTGGAAGTAACTGAGGTGAACTGGCCACCATAGAGACATCCATGAAATAGGGAAGTGCAGGTGATGCTGTGACAGCAGTGAGAAGCTAGAGCAGCTCCAGAGCATAGCACAGGACTGAGAACAGCAGCAATCGCTACTCAAGAAGCTACTAGAGAACACTTGGGTCACTTAGCAAAACCACAGGTGATGGTCACAACCCGCTTTTACAGAATGCAGAAGAAGACGTAAACCACAGAAAATAAGCAGTGGTCCTTAGGCAGGAGGAAAATAGAGGAACAGAAACTCATTTGAGTCTATAAACTGCCATGAATGTTCAGCTGGGAAAGAAAAGATGATTCCTAATTGCACAGCAAGATTTGTCATCTTCAGTAATGGCTTAATCTACAGGAGGAGAGAAGAAAAGATGCAAGAAAAGATGTAAATGTTTTGAGGCTGGACTAAGTTCACAAAAGGGATCCTGCTTGGGAAAGCAGGGAGCTGGGTGACCCAGGAAGTCTTTTCCAGCACTAAATTACCATGAGACTAACATAGCAAGTATATGCTGTCTACACAACCACAAAGAACAAAGGTTAAAAGTTTCCTTGAAACCCACACAGCCTTTGGAAACCAAAAAGCTGGCACTCTTCCTCCAGACTAAGTTTAAGAGCCTTGGTTTCAAAAAAAAGAATTAAAAAAAAAAATACACATATATTTTGAAGTAGTTTGAACTCCATCAAACTGGCATGTCCTTGCATTTGCATGAGGACAAGTTGTTCTGCACAGTGTTCCTATAAGGAGACAGTGAGAGGCATTCACTTAATTGTCACATAAGCACAAGTGTTTGAAATCAATCGTGCATTTCTCCTTAATAAGAGACACAGGAGAGTGAGCAATGCAAAATCTGAGCTTAAACTAATCTAATTACTTAGTCCATAGTAAGACAAACCGCAACAATGACTGCCAGCATTTCCACTTGCTTTAAGCTGCCTGCATGTTTTAAAGCCTACTCTGATGATCCTTTTGCCAATTAAGTTTTACTTCAAAGTCATGTTTCCCAAACTAATTTACAGCTGTTGCTAGAAAACCCAAGGATTTCTGCAAGTGCACTACCAGCTGCAGCAAATCTGTAGTTGTCATTATCAAATAAAAACGTCAAAGAACATTTCTGCCCTTAAGCCATTACAACGTTTCGCTTAAACACTACCCCAGAGTCAGAATTTAGAGCAAACGTTTGAGTGACAGCACAAGACAATAGGAGAGGACAAGGAGAAGGCTAAAATCGGTGCTGAATCCTCAGCTGCAGGCAGAGCAGCCAGTCTGTTCGTACCGTTTGACTTGATGGAAGGTGGAGGATGTGGAATTCAGCGGTTCCCTGTGGAGGCCAGCTCTGCAGGAACTCTTCATGGTAACAACCTCTCCGGCTAAGGCACGTCGTCACAGCCAGTCCATCCTGGGCTACACCCCAGGCTCCCCCATCAGCTCTGCCTGCCCCACTCTCAGCTTCACCGCGTCTCTGCCACCTAAAAACTGAACAACAGAGAATTCATCAGAAGATCACAAGCACAGACGATCAGGACATGGACTTTCCCGTGAGAGAGAATAGATACAGATATAAATATAAATATATACAAACACAAACATGCTACGCATGCATAGATATAAAAGATACATATTCAGATATAAAAGAACACCATCATGCCAGTGTTGCAGCTGGAGTTCCTGAACACCACCAAACACAAATGAACACGCCCCACCACGGCCTGTCTGCACACACAGAGTTTTTTCACCTTATATCCAACTGCAGTGCTACCTTGGCACCTCCCACGGAACACGCTGTCTTCCCAGCTCCATATAAACAGGACGCACAAGATCTCTCTGCTTGTTAGCACCACATCAGGCTTTGGAGGGAAGTAGCTGCTAGCAGTGAGATTTGAGGCTGCCAGGAGTTACGTTAGTGTTCTAATCAAAATAACGTGGTGGATTTTATAAAAGGACAGAAAACATGTCACCACGCAGCCTCTTAAGTCTTGTGAAAACCGCCCTGTCTTTGCATCACATGCAGATAAAGATTACACCAAAACAAAGCTGGTTCTGCAGTATCTCTTGTTCTCCCTTGGCTGCTGCCTTCTCCACCTTGTCCTTGGAGCAGATACTCTTACCGGCACTTTAACGCACTTTGATGGAGAAAGAACAACAACCTTCAAGCTGGAACATTAAAGGGAAGAGTGACACAGCAAAAGAGCCCTGGAAAACCTCAAATAGCCCAGCCTGAGCTGCCAGCAGATTGTTTTAGAGACCGTTTGCTTCCTCTCCAGAGGACCGTGCACAATGATGCCGTAATAAAGGAATGCCATTTGAGGATGCTAACTATGGAGCTGTGTCCCCAGGGAGCTGTGATTTAGTGCAGCAGGTTGTTCTCTCCTTTTCAGCAGCTCTGCCCAGTGTTCCTACTGCTGCTCTACCCCTGCTTTTGCAGAGACTGAGCCTCTCACATCACCCCCTTCCCAACACCTCCCACACAGAAGAACCCCCACTACACCCAGATCAGCACTGCTTGACCAGTGTGGTTCACAACCAATGCTCCCACTAAACACTCCTGGCTGGAAAACCTGCTCTTGGTAGCCACACTTGCCAGGAAAATGATGAAGGATGAACCTTCCAGGCAGGAAAAGCAGAAGCTTGTTTAGATCCACCTGACTTGATGTCTGCTACAGCAATTTCACGGTTCGTTTAATGATGGCGAATAAGAGGTTAAGCGTTTGCCTACATTTGAGTAGCAGCAGCCTAAAATAATATATAAAATATTATATAAACACATTCCAGTCTTCATGAAGAAATCTCTGCTGAGCTCTACACAAGGCTAAGAAACGTGTGGGGTGGAGAAGACGAAGGCAGGGCAGTGGCAGAGCAGGAGGAGAAGGAGAGCATATACTCTGCTGCAGGGATTCAGGATGACCAGGAATTAGGCTGCCATGATCAGCAACAGCAGAAATTGAAGCTTTGTAGTTAAACACCATTTTCATCAGACTACCCAGAGTCTCTAACAAGGACCTACCTCTCTATGAGTGAAACCTAGGCACAAAACCAGCTGTTTCTGATGTTCTCATGCTGTAAAGATATATATCCACAAACAGTAATTCACAGAGAAGAAAAAGCATGTGCCCAAGTGCTTTAGGAAAATCAAACACAAAATCGTTACTTTCCCACGAACCATCACTAAGAGTCACTGAAATTCTGACTTTTCTCCAGTCTTTTGTCTGGCTCTGCTTCTGGTTTTACTAACACTAGCATTTCAAACTCAGCAGGAACTGTATCACAGAAACATGATTATATCCACACCCAAATAAACACAACCACACCATTTCAAGAATGCCACTCACTTTTCCAATAGCTTAACCCCTCTCCATGGATCCCTGCTTAAAAATACCACACGTTTTGTCCAAGTCCCACTCCTCTGGACAGCAAATGAGAAGTAAAAGATAAAAAAGCCAGACGGAATTGAAACCCAAAGATATCTTGTTTGCAGTAAAGGTCTCAAGAAGCAAAACCATCAAGAGAAGTGGTTCAGGTCAGGAGCAGCCAGAACCCTGATCCAAGCACAGGCATTGTGTGATGAGATTTCGTGAATTTAGGAAGGGACCAGCAACTACTAGAGGGAAGCAAAAGCTGACAAAATAGACACAGCCAAGTTCAGATGGGCACTGCAGCACAGACCCAACCACAGCTCCATACAAAGCATGCTTTTTCCCCCCTCTGTAGCTGCTGGGCTATAGAAAAAGGCTGAAATAGACTATTAATGCCAGCAAGCTCCTGACAAATTCCTACTGTGTGAGGAGTAAAAAGCTGTGCTTGTGAATTAAAAAAAAAAGGAAGAGAAAAAAAACCCCAGCATTTAAGCTAGCAGATATACTTACTGCCTTTTAACTACCACTGTTTCTGTACCAAGGCTGATCCTTAGCAGGAGCTGCAGCCGATTTGTTAAGTTTTGCACATAGTCGGGTACAGCCCAAAAAACTGAAATACAGATGCACAGAGAAACAAAACAGAAGAGGAAGTTAAAACCCTAATCGTGTTCTTCCCCCTCTCTGAAACCACCCCCAAACATATGCCTTTCTGCACAAGATGTGGGAAGGACTTGGGTTTTGGCAGCAGAAAGTATCACATCCTCTCAGCCGCGGATGGCAGCTCAGGGAACGGTCCCACAAAATTCCCTGTCTTATCACCAGGTTTGAAGACTGCTGCAGCTTAGGAAAACAAATGTATCAACTCAACCAGGCTGCAGTCAAGGTCTCCCCATCTGCACAGCAATTCACTACAGCGTTTGATATTTTGATAAGTGCAAGTGTGTTTTAGCTGTAGCAACAGTAACTGATCAACAAACCAGTTCAAAGGGTGGGCACATCCTCTCAGAAAATTCACTTTCTTGAAAGGAGGCCATGGCCTCTGGACTGGAACTGAGCAACAACTGCCTTGTTGGTAAAAACATGTTTAAAAACACAATTGACCACCCCACCTCCATGCAGGGGAAGCTTTGGGATGCTCCATAGGGATGTCACTCTGGATCAGCTGGGCAAAGAGCATCAGCATATTCAGGATCAGCAGCATTTCAGACCAGAGTGTTAATACCAAAAGCAGTCATTAGGCTGGAAAGTCAGTGCTGAGGCTTTATAGCAAGATAAGGGTACTTGTTTTCTTGCAAGAAGCAGGTTCCATGTTTATTCTCCCACCACGGAGCTCAAGCTCAGGTTGTTATATGATCCTTGTCTCCAAAAGAGTAATTCACCAGACATGCAATTCTGTCATCCCCCAGCCAAGTCACCCCTTCCTCCCTCCCCAAACACCCCTCAGGACACATATAACAGCACCAGATCCTTCTAAGCAAGAGACTTTGGCACAAAGTGTTTCCTCATCCCAACACTCCCACTGGGAACGATCCACAGCAGCTCCCAGGCTAGGTCTGACAGAGAGGTGATTAACACACCAGGTCCACAGCCTCTTAGACACCTATAGCAACACAACCATTTCTTTTTAACTGTTCTTCAGGTAATATTTACATATTTAAAACACCTAAAGAACTGCCTTTTAACCCTTAAGGAGCCATCACAGGCATCATTTGCCTTGTGAAACTTTGTGTGCTCAAGCTTCCCCTGTTTATGCCAAATCAGATCTGGTATTATCTGATCTAAAGGCAATGAAACTGCCACAGGGTTCCAGATGGAATTAATGTGAGGAAGCTTCCTGTGTCTACTCCCACACCAAAACCTGATGATGGCACTTCTGCTTGGCAAAGCAGCAGGACCTGGTTACCATTGCTCTTTGCTCATTTCTCCACCAAATTCACTCCAGCCCTTCCTTCTCTAAGCTCCTCCAATCTCCTATCCTTGGATCCCATCGGACAGAGCAGCAATTTAAATGAAAACTAAAGATGTCCATGTAAGCAGAATCAGCAGAGGCTGATGATGAGGGGTCTGGAGCACCTCTCTTATGAGGAAAGACTCCAGGAGCTGGGCCTGTTTAGTCTTTCACACCTCCCCCTTTATCAGCACTGCCTCCCTGTCTGATTTCAGGGAGCTGGACCTAGGACAGAATTAACCCAAAGTAGTCAGAACTAAATCCACTTACCCCTGACCTGGCAGGAACTCACAAGGCCCAGCAAGACAAGGTTCTCAGACACTCAGACTAGACTCAGCCATCTCCAATCCACACCTGAAATCATGTTGGAAAATGCCTGCTACAAAGTGGATTTTAGGTCCTTTCAATGGAAAGGAACACTTCTGAATGCACAGTGGGCAAAATCCAGAGTGTTTCAGAAGCAGGGAAATGAGTATGTAGGGCTCCAAGGCAACATCTGACTCCTCACTGCTGTCAAACAGCACTACTTGCTGTACTGATAAGCATGTGAAATGTTTATTCCAATGAAGCACTACAGGGAGAACCTGTTTTCCTTCCATGATCACGTCAATAAAGAATGAAAAGCTCCACGTTTGTGGCTCACATGCTTTCTCTCTAGGTGGGGTAAGCATTAGTAGGACTAAGTTGTCACCTCAAAAAAAGAAAACCTCAGAAGGGAAAAAGAAAATAAAGACAAGCTCTGCTGCACCCTCTTAGCCCTGCATGAGTATTGGGAAAAATAATATTACAAGTGTTTCCCTTGTTTAACTATTCCTGAAAGGTTTCCGCTGCCTTACTCAATTTGGGTAAGGACATCACTCGCTGCTCAGCTGGGAAGAAGTTAAGAACTGGCTCATTAGATTTGTTCTGCTTGATCCAAGAGGAAAACAAAACCAGTAAATCCCTCACTGGGCAGTGCTGCTGCAGCTCTGGTGACAAACACACGGGGCTCACACATCACTTTGCTTTCTAGAAAGCTGCCTTGGCACCTCTTGTCAGTGTCGCGTGCCCCGAATGACAAACTGGGGGTAGCAAAGGCCCCGTGAGCGGAGCTGTGGCTGCTGCACCCTCAGCTCATGGGGCAAGGGCAAAAATCCTCCCTGAACACACCACACTCGAGGCCATGTGACCCACGAGCCACATCTGAATTATTTAGCCTATAAAACTACATCTGTTTTGCCATGCAGATTGTGAATTAATGAAAGCTCAGCTGAAAGGCTACTTTCTTGGGGCGAGAGGAAGGAGAAAGCTTCCAGAAGCCTTCCTATTATAGAAGCAATAGAGCTGGTTCCAAATATAGTAGAGCAACACTCCCAGAGCTCTGGAGACGTCGTGCCCTGATTTTGTGAGGCTGAGGTCTCACTGGATTGCTCCTGCTCATGCAAAGATGGGTAGAAAGGACTGCAAGATGCAAAACTGACGTGAAAAGGGAGTTTCAGGACAAACACCAGAGGCAGAAACCCAGACTGCTTCTGTGAAAGATCAACATGAACACCAGGAGAGAGCCAACCTGCCCCACTTTAGAGAAAGCCAGTCAAAACCAGCAGGAAGAATCCATCTTTTTCAAGAACACAACATAAGCTTGCAAAAAAGATCCTGATTATTATTTTTATTATTATTACAACCCCAATGTGGCAGATTAGGATTGCTAACAATCACTTCATCACCCTGTTTTGCCTGTGATAGCAGGGATCCTGGCTGGAGAGGTGGACTTGACTCACTTTGGCACGCAGAGGGTGGGTTTGTTTTTGCTGTGACAGCTCATAAAGTGACCATGACATGCCCTGCCTGACAGAAATGCCTCACCAGTTCACCAGGAACAGTTTGTTAGTGATCCAGCAGCGCGGGATAACGACCCCTTTTAATTCCTAAAGTTTCCTTCTCCTGTTTCATAGCAGATCTTGTAACATAACAGAAATAAACTCAGTTGCAAAACTCTGATTACAAGTGTATCTTTGTGTATCTCTGCATCTGTGTACTCCAGCATAGGACTGGCCTTTTGATTGGTAAATGGTAACAAAGGAAAATGTCACCAGGACACCAAAAATCTCATACAGGACACTACATAGGGAAGAAGGCCCCCTACACCATGGCACAAAACACACAGGAATAATTGCTCCTGCACACCTCTCCATGACCCCATGAAATGGCTTCTAAAATAGCAAAACAAACTTACAGCTGACTTCTAAACATCCAGCAAAAAAATAAATACAGTTTCTTCTTTGCAACTCTGCTAACAAGAAAAACCCCACAGCAGGTGACTCAAGGTTAAGCACTAATTTCATCAGATTTAAAACTCAATTCACTGAACAAAATATGGCTTTAACAGGTTTCTATGGCTCTAACTGGTTTGGACCTGCTCTTGGGTTGCCCATTCTCCTTTCTAAGACCACCCCATATTCCCTGATCACAGGTCCAGACCTCCACAGTTTAGCAGAATAAGGGACAATTCATTTTTATTTACTTCTGTGGGATCTTACCCTTTAACCAAAAGGTTATTTTGTGCTTTTCTCTGTTCTATACCACTGTGGATACCTTTTCAGCAGAGACAGAGGCACAAAAGAACCCCAAAAAACACTCTCCAGAAACCCCAAGCAAACCAAAATCACACAGACACACAAAAGAATCAGAACAGTTTCCACCTGGGTTCATTCTGCCAGTCCCCTGCAGAGCTGAGAGGCTACAATATCCATTAAGCATCTCTAAAGTGTCCAGATTTTTCCTCAGGGTCTCCAAATCCAAACTCAGCTAACCTTACTCTGCAGCACAAACACTAGATTAAATATAACAGTACCAAAAAAGAGTTTTAGAAGTAACTGTGCCAATTACTTGCAAATATTTGGATAGGCTGGATAAGGCCTTAAGCAACCTGGTCTAGGGGGAGAAGTTCCTGCACGTGGCAGGAGGTTGGGATAAGATGATCTTTAAGGTTTCTTCCAACCCCTTAATATTCTATGATTCCATGATTTCTGTCATCCAAAATGCCCAAGTTTTTTCTATCATATTCCTGAATCCATTCTATTCTCACATAAAAGCATTTTCTGCTATTTTTAGCATCAATGTCTCATGAATTGTTACAAAATCTAAAGTATTTTCTAACTTTTGTTTAAAGTAGGCCACTGCTGGTGCCCCAATGTCACACTTTCACAGAGAACTGTCTTCCACCTTGCAAGGACAATGCAAAAATGCTGAGCTCAGAAATCTCAAATTTATAGGTCAGCGGTTTACAAAAAAAGTCTGCTCTACACTTAGGGAAAGAGCTATCCAAGTATACCCAACTCCAGGACAGACTTCATGCAGAAAGCATAAAAATTTTCACAGCACATTTTGGAACAAAGTGCCTCATTACATCTGCAAACTTCCACCAGAACAGATTCCTTAGAAACATCTGAAAACAACCCACCCACCCACAAACAAGCAAGACACACCACCACCCACACCCTCTGAACAAGCTCTGGATTCCCTGGGCTTTCCAGCTGTGTCTTATGAAACGAAGCATAAAGCTCCTTAAAGAAGAGGTTACAATCTAAGACCAAAAAAAAAAAAGTCACTAATTAATGCCAGGCCCCATGGTGGAGCAGGTCATGCCCCACAGTGAAACTGGAGAGAGAATATGGTGGTTT